ATATTGTCATAAGGAACAAGAAATCACAGAAGAAATACATGATTAGGTGTGACAACTTTGATATGCACAGTTGGAGAGACAGCAAATGTATACCTTCACATGCCATCAACCACACAAGACAAAAGCAGCACCTGCTCTCACACATACTCACACACGTCCAAAGGTCTTACCTGTGAATAGTCAAAGTCAGAGAGGGGTGCTATGCTTTTGATGTAGTCAATTCTGAATTGGTCCTCTGGGTTGGCTAGCGGGACTGGGGGTATTAAAGTGCTCATTGCAGACACTATAGTCTAAGGGAAAAAAAAAAAAAACAAGCATTAAGCAGGATGAACACAAGGGGGTGGGGGGAATCTGATTGTAAGCCTGTATAATAATCAGTAAAATGGGATTGCAGAGGGATTCTGTGTATCAACAGAGACATTGAGCACATTTGGGAGGTGATGCAGATGAAACTCACCACTATGGCATCCTTCACGTTTTTCCGAATATCTTGGATTTTCTGTTTCTTTTCCCTGTGTGGGGAAGACAGAACAGAGACATCCCACCACATTAGACGAGTAACACAGAGTAACAAATTCAACATACAGGCCATGTGCTGTGTCTCAGTATACGTCCCAGCACTGGCAAAAACATATGCATGATTTCTTCCTATATATAGCATATTTTTCCTGCACAATTTACCACATTTTGTCAAACTTCAGAGCAGCAGGGCTGTACTTAGAGTTTCTAAAAAAAATCCTTTATTAAGACGCAGGGTTCCTCCCAAGTTAAAATGTGCATGTAAGCAATGAGTTTGCCACCTTGCTAAACCACTATTATTTTCGGCCATTTGAGAAATAAAGATGTATTTAAAGCTCAAGTAAATTAAACCCCCCTGAAATCCTCTTCGGTGGGCACCAATTATTTGTACATGTAGGTGGTGGGGGACCCTGTATATGACAATCCCACCCTCCTCTTCCCCAGATCTTGAAACTGCAAGATCATGCCTCCCTCAGTCAGGGAAATAAATTAAAAGCACACAAAAACAGGGTTTTCATATAGTTACATGACTCTGACATAAAGTGGGCCTGTTTAAAATAGCCCACTGTTAAGATCAATGCCATGCAAGGCCTTGCAGCAAAACAAATCATCAATAATAGGCCTGTGTCGATCACAACCTTTCACCCTCTCACATAAAACAGGAAACGGCAAATTATTTGCCATCTGTGTAACACTGACATCCTCACATATGTATGATAACTGTGCACGAAAAGAAGAGGGTGTGTGTGTGTGTGTGTGTGTATAGAGAGAGAGAGGGAGAGAAGGAGGGGGGAGGACGATATTAGCTGGTTTGCATGGGAAACTGGGCCCAACAGGCGCTGCAGTGCCTGGGGAAAATCCATTCACAGGCTATCTTCTGGCCTCGACAATGTTATTCATTAAGAGGGGAGCCATAAAAATAATCATTAATGCGATTTTTTTTTTCATGTTGGCGTTTAACAGGCGTACTGAGCAGCACTCACTCTGCGTTGAAGCCGTTGACGTGTAGAATCCTCATCTGCTTCACAATGGTGCTTTTTCCGGACTCTCCCGCACCTTCGAAAATACACACAAACACATCACAAAATGACCACAAACACGGACATCCTGATTAGCGTGAACCCCTTCCACAGCACCGCAAAAGAAAGAAAGAAGAAAAAACCCAACAAAATCTGGAAATGAAGCCAGTTAATTGTAGGCTCCGGAGCTTCGCTTCCATCAATATCCACCCCCATGACATATTATTGCAAGCGCTGTCAAATGGGGCTACGTGTTCGGTAAACGAAAGGGATTACGGTTAGCTCACATTTCAGACAGCCATCACCACAGAAAGCAGCCTTACCCAGTAATAGGAGCCTGTGTGTGGCTTTGTACGCTTGTCTTTCCTTTTGCAACTGTTTTTCTATCTTTTTATTAGCCTCTCGTTGTGCCTTTTCGTCGATGCGTTGATCTTCAGTCTTGCTGTTGCCCAAACAACCCATCTTCCGTCGCCCTAACCCTTCCTTGTGGAATCGTTAAAAAATATATATATATTCTTTTTAAAAATGAGACCTGGGATGATATTGCGGGTTGAAATGACACAAGAAGGAGTCTGGTGTGAAATAAAAAAGGTTAAAAAAAATCACAGCGAGGCTTCTCCGTCGGAGGGAGGAATATGTTCCCCGTTACAATTCCGCTTTAGCCGCAGCCAACCGTCATCCAAACCGTTTGCTAGTTTACAAACCAAACGAAGAATAACGACTCGCTTCAACGGAGAAATCTAAAAAAAATAGACATAAATAAGAAGAGAGAGGGGGGATTCAGTTTCTGGGAATCCAGTCAACTGTTCCTATCGCGTTTCCAACCCCTCTCTTCTCTCAGTATTTTTTTTCTATCTGAATTTCTATCAGTATTTCTGTCTCTTTAACTCAGCACTGCCTCTCTCTGTAGCACCAGGAAGTAGCCGTGCACCGTGGAGGTGGAAAACAAACCTGCGTTAAACTGTAACATTAACAACCCGCACTCATAGAGCATTTTAGAACGTGTGTGCCAAAATACGACGAGCCATTCCAGATTTAGTCCGTTTGCTGTCCCGCTATCAAAGTAATCGAAAGAAAGTGGAAACCCGGACGCGACTCTCTCTCTCGACTGCTTTTGCAGAGGGGCTGGGTCTCTTCTCGTTGGCTTTCAGTCAGTGAGACAGCCCTGACCCTAAACTGGCAACCCAGTTACAGCGACTGTCTGCGTGCGCAATGGGCTTTTACCTGGCTGAGGTTTTTACAATAGACTACAGGTCTGGCAACACATCACAGCGGTCGCGGGCAGGGGCGTTTCTACGATTTGTAGGGCCGATGTCACACGACAGGCCCCACCGGAAGTTAGACTGTTTGATAAAAGAAAATACATATGTAGAGAAATGGGGCACAAAGCACAGTGTTTACTAATATACTATTACTATAATCCCAATTCAGTATTTATAGAGAAGTTTTAGCATGCCAGTACACTAAAA